CTTGTGATTAAACTGCCCATTATCCGTCCAACTTCCGCAAATCATTAACCGTTGTTATCTCATTAATTACGGTTTAAATTCAAATTTTTGGATCAATTAAATCATTTACTTCCCTCCTTTTCTGAGTTAAATCAAACCCGACCCGTCATTCTTCCAAATCGGGTCTGGGGGGCAAGTTGTTTGGGTCCAATTTAGTCAAAATTGGGCCGGAGCACTAAATGATCCAATTAAAAGCCCAAGGTCAAGGTTCAACTCTCCAATTGCTCAAAAGTCAAAAGTCAGCCCACAAAGTAAGCCAATTGGGCTAAAGCCCAACCTCTCCAAGTATGACAAGGTATAAAAGCCATCATATTAACACATTCAAGGGGACATCACATATACATTGATATTCCATTTCATATGCTCATTCTTGCATTCAGGAATATTCCACAAAAGCCTCAAGCTACAAACTCTCTTGCATAGTGTCTTCCTTTTACACATTGTACTGACTTTAGCATCGGAGGGGCCTTCCTCGGAAACACCCCCGAGGCTAGTTTACGTGTGTTCACTGTGCAGGAAACCTTCGGCCCAACACAACTTGGACCGAATCCAGTCTTCTCCACTTCAGCGGACCTTCGGCAAGGTCCCATTGTTTTCAACCGAAACACTCGTTAAAAGGATTAAGCATTTCATGATGTCTTCAAAAAAAAGCTTTATTATATGATTAATGAATGTAGATTTTATTTATTTGACAGTTAAACACAACATTTTGCTTCAACAATTGAATAATGTGCTTCAACAATTGAATAGTTTGACAGTTAAACACAAAATTTTGCTTAATCGAGCATTAGTGCATTACAATACTACTTATATTTTATGTTGCCAATTACTTCATTGTGTTAAAGGACTATGTCAATTAAAAATTTATGCTGATGTTTTATACTCTATCACAATATCCCAAAAAACGTAGATATTAGCCTTTAATTTAGAATTTTTTGACTTTTTAACCCAAAAATAAAAATTGCCGAAATGTTTACCATGGTCCCTAATACTCTCCAGGAGTCCAATTGGTTGGGAGGAACCACCCAACTTGCCTTTAAACGACCAATTTACCAGTTTACAACTTGCACCGATATCATTAATTCAAGCTTACCACGAACATTTATGACAACATATAATGATCATATATGGTTCCAAACGGTATTATATGACCCTAGATATATTCCCTAAAATCTCAATGCTTTTCGACATTAGGCCCCCGAAACATTCGAAATTTCTCAAAAAGCGTGGATATTAGCCTTAAATTTTGGAAAATTTTGACTTTTTTCGCCTGTAATTAAAAATTACCGAAATGTTTACCATGGTCCCTAATACCCACCAGGAGTCCGATTAGGTGGGTAGAACCATCCAATTTGCCTTTAAATGGAGAATTTATCGGTTTACATACAACTTGCACCGATTTTATTAACTCTAGCCTACCACGAACATTATTGAAAACATTAATGATCATTTATGGTTTAAAACAGTATTATATGACCCCGATATGTATCCCCTAAAATCTCAAAACTTTAAGACACCGGGTCCCAAAACCTCAAAAATTTCTTAAAAAGCATGGATATTAGCCTTCAATTTTGGAATTTTTGACTTTTTTTTTACCGAAAATAAAAAATGTCGAAAAGTTTACCATGATACCTAATACCCTACATTCCAATTGTGTGGGTGGAACCATCCAATTTGCCTTTAAATGGCCAATTTACCGGCTTACAACTTGCACCGATTTCATTAACTAAAGCCTACCACAAATATTTATGACAACAAATAATTATCATACATTGTTCCAAACGACATTATGTGACCCCGAGATTTATTCTCTAAAATCTCAAGTCTTTTCGACACCGGGTCTCGAAACCTTTAAAATTTCTCAAAAAACGTGGTTATTATATTAGCCTTCAATTTTGGAATTTTTTGACTTTTTTTCGCCCTAAAATAAAAATTACCGAAATGTTTACCATGGTCCCTAACCCTCTGGGAGTCCAATTGTGGTTGGGTGGAACTATCCAATTTGCCTTTAAACGACCAACTTACTGGTTTACAGCTTGCACTGATTTTATTAACTCAAGTCTACCACGAACATTTATAACAACATATAATGGTCATTTATGGTTTCAAACAGCATTATATGACCCCGAGATGTATCCCCTAAAATCTTATTTTTTTCGACACCAAGCCTCGAAACTTTCGAAATTTCTCAAAAAGCGTGGATATTAGCCTTCAATTTTGGAATTTTTTGATTTTTTTTTCGTCCGAAAATAAAAATTTCCGAAATGTTTACCATGGTCCTTAGCACTCTCCGGGAGTCCAATTGGTTGGGTGGAACCATCCAATTTGCCTTTAAACGACCAATTTACCGGTTTATAACTTACACCGATTTCATTAACTCAAGCCTGCCACAAACATTTATGACAAAAATAATGGTCACATATGGTTCCAAACGACATTATATGACCCCGAGTCGTATTCTCTATAATTTTGAGACTTTTAGTCGTCGGGCTCCGAAAGCTCCAAAATTCACAAAAAGGTGGATATTAGCATTCAATTTTTGAATTTTTTTACTTTTTTTTGGCCCGAAAATAAAAATTGCCGAAAGTTGTCCCTAATACCCTCTAGGAGTCCAATTGGGTGGGTAGAACCATTCAATTTGCCTTTAAACGGCCAATTTACCGATTTACAACTTGGACCGATTTCATTAACTCAAGCCTACCACGAACATTTATGACAACATATAATGATCATAAATGGTTCCAAAAGAAATTATATGATCCCGAGATGTACCCCATAAAATTTCAAGACTTTTCGGCAACGTGCCTTGAAACCTCCAAAATTTCTCAAAAAGCGTGGATCTTAGCCTTTAATTTTGGATTTTTTTTTACTTTTTAACGCCCGAAAATAAAAATTGCCGAAATGTTGACCATGGTCCCTAATACCCTCCAGGAGTCTAATTGGGTGGGTGGAACCCTCCAATTTGCCTTTAAACGACCAATTTATCGGTTTATAACTTGCACCAATTTCATTAACTCAAGCCTACCACGAACATCTATGACAATATATAATGATCATATATAGTTTCAAACGGCATTAAATGACCCCCAGATGTATCTCCTAAAATCTCAAGACTTTGTGACACTAGGCCCCGAAACCTCCAAAATTTCTCAAAAAGCGTGGACATTAGCCTTCAATTTTGGAAATTTATGACTTTTTTTCGTCCGGAGTAAAAATTGACGAAAATGTTTAACATGGTCCCTAATATCTTCCAGAAGTCCAATTGGGTGGGTGGAACTATCCAATTTGTCTTTAAACGACCAATTTACCGGTTTACAACTTGCACAAATTTACCGGTTTACAACGACCAATTCAATTAACTTGCACCGAATCCGACTTGAACCGAAATTAATCCAAACCAGTTTTAACCTGTTGAAACCCAAATTTAACCGGACTTGTTACTAACCTGACCTGAATTCAGACCGACCCGTTTCTAACCCAACCCGAATTTAACGCAACCTATTACAAACCCGACCCGAAATCAACCCGACTTGTTATTGACCTAATTCAAATTAAACCCGACTTGTTTTTGACCCGACCTGAATTTTACCATACTATTATTTACTCGACCCAAAAATTCAACCCGATCTTTTACTAACTCGACTCGAAATTTACACAACTTGTTATTGACCCGATCTAAATTCAACCTAAATTATTCCTGACCCAATTTCAAATCACCTTCAATGCAATTTAGACCATCTTATTATTGTTGATCAAAGCATTTTGTCTAGGGAGACCAAGTTGGTCAAGGCCAACAAAAGAAAGGAGCATCATCCTCAAATTTAAGAGTTAAATATAATATATATTTGTTGTATGGTCAAAGGAGATAATTATCTTCCTAAATTATAGACTATAGTTACCTAGTATATTGCCATATATTACCTTCGTTTTTTATTAGTTAACACGTTTTGACTTTAGCACTATTCACATACCTACCTTTTACCATGTTTTGTGATTTATATGTAAAGAAAAATATAGTCAAGTGGGATCTTGTTAGATTCGTCACAATGTATATTTTCAAACTACCAACTTTTTATAATGTTTGCTTATCGATAATTAAAGATATTAATGATTTAATTTGTGCATTGGCAAACAAGACTAAAGAAACGTGTCAACTAAAAAGAAACGAAGGAAGTATATAATAGACAAAGGAAATAATTAGCTTGATAAAAATGATAATTATCTATTTAGTTTGTTGAACCCAAATATGAGCTGACTTGGAAATGACCCGACCTAATTGTAACCTGCAAATTATTGACTTGAACATAACCCGACTTGAATCCGAGAATGTCCCGACTTGGAAATGACCCAACCTGATTATAACCCGCAAATTATTGACTTGAACTGAACCGAAAAATGACCCGACTTGAAAATGACCCGACCCAATTATAATCCGCAAATTATTGACTTGAACCGAACCCGACTCAAACCCGAGAATGACCTGATCTGATTCTAACTCGCAAATTATTGATTTGAATCGAACCCGAGAATTACCCTGACCCGTATTAACCCATGAAAACCCGAATCTAACCCAACCTATTGTTCACCCGACCCGAATGTAACCCGACCCAAACCCGATAAGAAGTATGACCCGACGTGACTCGACTCAAGCATGACCCATCCCAAACCCGACCCGCATAGGTTATGGGATTAATCCGAATTAACCCGACCCGAGTTGACCTGACCCACTCTTATCCGACCCAAACACGACCCGTTATCCGAATTGACAGCTCTAATTATCATAGTGTCCTCAATTAATCGTGTCATGTCGTGTTAAATTTCAAAATCTCTATACATGGGGCTACGCTAACCCATGTCGGCCCACATGTTAGAACCCGGCTGCCAATTTCAGTCCTAACTATTGGCCCAAACCCGAATTGCATCTGCATGTTACAAAAACAAAAACAACAAATAAGGAATTTTTCTTAGAATTCCCAAATTACAGCCAAAAATGGAAGGAGAAAAAAACCGATGTCCAAAGTCGATCTCTTTCTCTCTCTTCCCCTGAATAATTGATGCAATTCAAAGTAAAAATTGAGTGATCTCATCTCTTCTTAGAAAGGTAAGTATCCGAATTTTCTTTTTATGTAAGTAATCAAATACTTTCCCTTTTTATCGATTGTAGAATTGATGTGTGTATAATTAGAATATTGCTTTTTTTTTTTTTTTTTTTTTTTTTTTTTTTTTTTTTGGTAAATTTGGTATGAATTGAATATAATTGTTAGCTTGAATTTTTTTTTTTTGTTTGAATAGTTATTTACAATAAGTTTATATGAGAAAGACTTGTAATCTTTTAGTTCTTAAATTTTGTGGGGTTGCAATTATTGGGGTTGATTTGTGTTTTAGATGTATCCTTAAAAGATTGCATTTTGAGTATGATCCCTGATTTTCACAATCTAAGAATTTTTGGGTATTGATGATTGATTAATCGTAGGAAGCGTAGGAGGAGGAATTTTGGATTTTGACTTATTTAAGATTTTTTTTTTCATTTTTTGGTTTGGTGGGTATGTGCTTGGATGTTGTTGTTTTTTTTTTTTTTTTTTTTTTTTTTTTCCTATTGATGGATCAAACATTGACATTGTATGTTAGTATGTTACACTAGCTGTCACCTGCCCGATTGGCGGTTGCGATGTTGAACTGTTGAAGATCATATGTTTGGATCATTTGGGTTTGCTTGGAGTAAGATTGTACATTTGGTTTGTTCATTTGATTTTTTGCCGGGTGGGAATTTGGTGGATATGAAATGCAAATATTTGTGGTGAATCTTTTAGGTAGAATGTGCTTCAGGTCTTGCAGCTGTAGGAGATATGAGTGAACAGACTCTATGTAGGAGACATACTACCATTATGTGCCCCTTTATCATTTACACATATTTTGTAGTTTCTTTGCTAGCATTTTTACTTGTTCTTGGCTTGGGAGTAACAACGAGATTACGAGAGCCACTATGCCTTTTTTTTTTTTTTTTCCAATCAGAATGAGGAAAAGCCTTCCCACTTTTTGTTTGATGGAATCATTGAGGATTATATGAGCAGTAGATTCTTCCTTTTCGATGTTATGTACATTGTTGACCTTAAATGATGTGTTCCAATTAGCAAGAAATCAACAATAACCACCACCACCACCATGGCACCACCTAAATTTGTCAAATCCCTTGTAGATTAAAGATTTCAAGGTGTATGCTAGGGTATTTTCTTATCAATTCAGATTAGCAAAGAAGCTGTGGACCCTGTGATTGTTGAATAATGTTAAAACAAAACAAAGTGGGTGAGGGGTTGGGGTTGCCATACAAGAGTTTTGCATTCATATCATTGTGTGCAAATTGGTATGAATTAGTTGAATGTGATTTCATTCTTTCTACAGTTGTCTTAGTCAAAATACTTTTGGGTTGAAGTACGTAATAACATCTTTTGTGTCATGAAACTGATACGAGGTTGCTTGTGTTTTCCGCTGGAATCTACTGTTTTTTTTTTTCAGAGGTTTTACTCAGTTTGGTGTCACAAAATGTAAGTCATTTAATTATATCAAGTGTTGATGAGAAATCTAACTGATTAAGTAGCCAGTGGTGGCCATTTGGCCAGGGAGCTCTTCAGAGTTAGAGGAGGAATAGGAGTCACCATGATTTCTCATCTTCGCCTTTAATGTTTGTTCTCCGTTTATACCATGAAAGATCATGTCCTTCCAACTATCTATTCTTTCCATCAGTGTTTCGTAATACTCTATTCCCCTTGCGTATTGCTTATTTCCAACGCACATATTGGAACACGAATATTGGTTTGCTGAAAGTCTGGAACACTTTTGGGCTAGATTTCAATATTATTAGGTAGCATGTTGGCATGTTGCGATCTTGTACTTGTTTCTTCATACCAAGCGTACTAAGGAGTACGTGTTAGGTAGATTTCTTCACTTTTTAGAGTATTTTGATTGGCAGTAGATTCTTCAACTTCAGTGTTTTGTACACTGGTGACTTAACTAATACTTCCTCCGTTGTATTTTAGTTGACATGTCTCTTTTATCACGTTTGCCAACACATGGTTTTAATGGTTTATAACTCTTATTAGCAACATGTAAAAATTATAAAAAGTTGATAAAGATGATTTAAACAAGTTCCCACATGATTAACTGGCTACTTTTTTTTTTTTTAAAAATCATATTTATAAATCACAAAAGCTAGTCAAAGACTCAAAGTAAAGTTTGTAAACAGTGTCAAAAATCAAAACGTGTCAACCCAAAAAGAACATAGGAAGGGTGTTCTTGTTGATTGATTAGAATAATTATGACAACCTCTGTCATACCCAAAAATCTTTATAAAAAAGAAGTATGGACTATGGAAGCATTGGCAGAGACGGAGAGTTTTGGGAGGCAAAGTAACAGGCATACCCCTAATCAATCGAGAACTTGAGAATGACTTGAGACTACTAAAGAGCTTTTAATTAATGAAGTTTACTATACTGGTGAGGAAAACATAAAATATTCAGGGGTGTCATTTTTTTAGTTGATTTTCTTTCCTTATAGTGGATATGTTTGCTTTGCTGTTTTCTCATCTAACTATGTATGCATTTGTTGATGATTGAGGATTCATTTTTCTGTGCTGTTGTATCATATGCCAATTAATACAAGGATTTATTTATTTTTGAATCTATCGATATCTATGGATTTGTTTCATTATAATTTGATGTACAGCAGACTCCTTAGAACTGAAACTTTAGTTTAAGATCAATTTTCTCAAGTATTTTGTGTTGAATCCTGGACAAATATATGGAAGACATCAACCTTTCATAAAGTTCTAGGTTCCTTTTTGCTTTGAATGCTTACTTTTTCCAATTGACTTAAAGCATTGAGATATATGACCACCTTTTCTTGAGGAGTTATTTTTATTGTTTGCTGTTTGCTGATGTTTTAAGCTTTTGCACCTTTCAGATTGCATTGCTCATGTTGTGAACTTGCTTTAGAATTTTTATCATCAAGTAATCATTTCTCATGTTATCGACTTTTGAAGATCATATTTGTTAAACGGAGGGAATATGTGTTTTTCTATTCTAAATATCAGGCCTATATTTGCAGGAATTGGTTGGAGATCATAAAAGCTCTGCAAGTTTTCAAATAAGACATTTATAAAGACCAACGTTGTGGTTCACACTTTCGATCAATGGATGCTGAACTGTTAAACTTTTGGGGCCCCGTCACATCCTCTATTGACTGGTGTGAAAAAAATTATGTTTGTTCATCTTATATTGCAGAGTTTTACAACACAATTTCAAATATACCAGCCATCATTTTGGCTGTCATTGGCCTCGTTATTGCCTTGAGTCAGGGTTTTGAGAAGAGATTTACTGTTCTTCACCTTTCAAATATGATACTTGCAATGGGGAGCATATTGTTCCATGGAACTCTGCAACGTGTGTAAGTAAATAAGGTTTTTTTTTCCTCCTGCAATTTTCATGTTTTTTCGTTTTTTACCCTGCTAGCTTTTGGGTCATGATTCTACAACATTGCATTTAATGGTATAATTTTGGGCTTTAATAGTTCATTACTTCTTTGGTTTGACTAGTTGACAGCTTGATGCTATCTAGTGCACCTTGTAACACTTTAGTCTACTGTTAATATAAAACTAAGACAAGAAAGCAATAAAGATGCAATTTTCAGGGAAGAAGGCTGTTGATTAATTGATTCAAAGATGAAATCTTGGGAAAACAGGGTGGCTTAAGGCCACTACTCTCTACTAAGTACCTTGACGGGGGGGGGGGGGGGGCGTTTGGATTCTGGGAATGGGAGTTTGGGGATTAAAAGGTGGGAATGAAATTGGGAATTAATTGATGGGAATACATGAAAATATGTCAATACCTTGTTTGGATGGTGGGTGGGAATATATAGGGAATAAATAACAATTTTACCAAAATACCCTTACTAAGATTATTATTTCATTCTTTTCATTAATGGCAAAAATGTCATTTTCCCCCTATTCTCATTCCCATCCATTTATTACATACCCTCCCTAGGTAATAAAATGGTGGGAATCCACCCCTAAATAATCCCATTCCCAAACCCTTTTTTATTCCCATTCCCACCAAACAAACAAGGCTTATTTTTTAAATTGGGATTAAAATTCCCAATCCCACCCTCAATTCCCACTTGCCAAACACCCCCTGAGGGTACAACTCTCCACACTCTAGGGATTACAAAATGACTAGCTACCCAACACACTCCCTCTCCCCCTTTCTTATATGTACACATCAAGCCAAAAACAAAAGAGACAAAATTGCAATATTGCAGCTGTCACACCCATAGAGGATGCTGCCAATAATCATTAGCTGCTCATTGATTTGGTGGCTCCGTCTCTGCTGTGCTTTGTTGCTGTCCTTTCTTCATTCTACGCTCGTAGGTGATCCAACCCTTGTGCTTGCTCCTCGAGGCAGTCGTTACATCTCCCCCCCCCCTCTCAAGAGTCACCTTGTCCTCAAGGTGAAATGATGAAAACCTCTCTTGAATTGTTGTTGCTTCCTCCCAAGTTGCTTCAATTAAGGGCAGCCCTTGCCACTTAATTAACACTTCCAGAATCTCAGGGTTACTCTTGGCAGACCTGATGTCCAGCACGCTCTCTGTCTTAGCCTTAAGTTCCAACTCTTCAGTCAGTTGAGTCGGTATAGTAGGGCTTGCCAAGTGATCTCCTAATGCGCGTTTGAGTTGTGAGACATGGAACACAGGGTGGACTCTACAAGTTTCTGGCAGCTCCAGCTTGTATGCCACTTTACCAATGCGTTGGACTACCTTGAATGATCCATAGAAGCAAGGTGCTAGCCTCTTATTCGGTCTTTTTGCAAGGGATTTTTGCCGATATGGTTGCAACTTCAAATAGACTAAGTCTCCAACCTGAAATTCCTCTTCCCTCCTTCGCCTATCCGCATTAAATTTCATCCTTTGTTGAGTCCGAATCAAATTCATGTGCAAGTCATCTAGCACCCAATCTCTTTCTTGAAGCCATTCAACCGGGGTTTGCCCACTGCCCACCTTAATCAGTTTTGGGGGTTCCCTCCCATACACAACCCGAAAGGGTGTGAACCCAGTAGAAGCATGATAGGAAGTGTTATATACATACTCCGCCCAATGCAACCACTTTCCCCATGATTTGGGCTAACCATTAACAAAGCAACGCAAGTACGTCTCCAAGGTTTTGTTGACAACCTTGGTTTGGCCGTCGGTTTGGTGGTGATATGAGGTACTTCTCTTGAGATCTGTCCCTTGTAGTCTAAACAATTCCTTCCAAAATACACTCATGAAGATACGGTCTCTATCCGACACAATTAAAGTAGGCATCCCATGAAGCTTCACAACTTCCTTAGTGAACACCTCCGCCACTATCAAATCACTATATGGATGCTTCAACCCAATAAAATGCGCATACTTAGATAGCCTGTCCACTACCACCAACACCGAGTCTACCCCTTTTGAGAGCGGAAGTCCTTCTACAAAATCCATCGATATGTCTTCCCAAATAGCCTTGGGAATGGCAAGGGTTGTAGCAATCCGACTGGCTGCAATTGTGAATGTTTAGCTTGCTGGAAAATAGCGCATTGCTTCACATATGCCCCTATTTCCTTTCGCATTCCCAACCAATATCACTCCGCGACAATCCTTAGGTAGGTTTTGATTTCACCTTGATGTCCTCCTACCGGGCTGTCGTGACTCGTGATACTTTGTCAAGAGTTTGGAAATTAGGGGTGACCCTTAGGGACTACCACTCTCCCTTTGAATAATAACCTCACCACTTCAAGTGTGAAGCCCACATGAGCCCCTGGATTCGCTGCTATGTCTGCTGCTACTCGACTAAGGTCCTTGTCAGCCTTCACTTCCTTTCCTAACTCATCCCAATTAATTCCGGATATTGATACCAAGACTGCTATCCCAAGTGCCTCTCCTCTCCTAGACAAGGCATCCGCCACTCGGTTGCTCACCCCGGGTTTAAATTGGATCTCAAAATCGAACCCAAATAGATTTCGAACCCACATTTGATACTCTCCACTCACTTATCTTTGCTCCATGATGTACTTCAAGCTTTGTTGATCGGTTCTCACAACGAAGTGGCGCCCAAGCAAGTAATGCCGCCACATTACCACGGCCAAGCAAATCGCCATTAGTTCCTTCTCATAAATGGCCTTAGCTTGTGACCTAGGGCCTAACAATTTGCTGTAGAAGACCACGGGCCGAGCCTTTAACATTAGGACAGCTCCTAGCCCAAAGCCTGAAGCGTCAGCTTCAATTACGAAGCGCTTGCTGAAGCTGGCATAATAAGGACAGGGGCCGAAATCATGACTGATTTCAGCCGCTCAAAGGCTGTCGTGGCCTCAGATCGACCACCCAAAATTATCCCTTCGCAACTGCTTTGTTAAGGGCCTAGCAATCCGTGCATATCCTCCTATAAATTTCTGGTAATAACCAGTTTATCCTAGGAACTCGCGCAACTCCTTCAAATTTTGTGGAATCGGCCACTCCACCATAGCTCTTACCTTCTCCAAGTCGACAACCACTCCGTTCTTGGACACTACATGTCCTAGATAGGCGACCTTAGCTTGACTGAACTCAGACTTCTTGAAGTTGGCTACCAAGCTATGCTCCTCTAATTTGGACAACACCACCTTCATATGCTCCAAGTGACTCTCCTTATCCGGGCTATAGATTAGGATATCATCAAAAAACACGAGCACAAATTTCCTCAAGTATGGCCTAAACACCTCATTCATGAGTGCTTGTAAGGTGGCCGGCGCATTTGTTAGCCCGAAAGGCATTACTAAGAATTCGTAATGGCCTTCGTGGGTCCAAAAGGCCGTCTTGTGCGTATCTTCTTCCCGCACCAAGATTTGGTGATAACCCGATTTAAGGTTAAGTTTCGAAAACACAGGAGCCCCATGGAGTTCATCAAGTAGTTCATTTATGATAGGAATGGGTTATTTGTCGGGGATTGTTTCCCGCTTCAAGGCACGGTAATCCACACAGAATTGCCACGAACCATACTTCTTTTTAACCAACAAAACCATGCTTGAAAATGCGTTGACCGACTGTTTAATTATTCCCGCCTCTAGTATCTCCTCTATTAATCGCTCGATTTCATCTTTCTGAAATTGTAGGTACCGGTATGGCCTTGCGCTTATCGGATTGCTGCCCTCTTTCAACACTATAGCGTGCTCATGCCCTCGTTTAGGTGGCAGCCGTTTGGGAGATGCGAAAACCCCTTGAAATTGTTCCAAAGTTTCTGCCAACCACCCCGGCACCTCTGCTCCCTCTGTTCAGCCTCCTGCTTCGCACCTCTACACGGTTAACCTCCACCCATAAGCCTCCCCGTTCATGGCGCAAGGTTTTGAGCATAGCCTTGAGTGTGACTCGGGTTCAAGTCAAAGCTGGGTTCCCCTCCAAAGTCACTTTCTCACCTCCCACCATGAAGCTCATGAGGTGGGTCTTCCAATTATGGATGACCGGCCCCAGCTTTTCCAACCATTCAATTCCCAAAATCAAGTCAGCATTACCCAATTGTAGTGGTAAAATTTTCCACCACCACAAATCCGCCATTAATCACGACCCTTACTCCTTTGCATCTTCCCTTACCCCAAATAATGTCACCATTTTCGTACCCGCCACCGGTATCCCCACCTCCGCCACCAAGCCGTCGGATATAAAGTTATGGGTGGCTCCCGGATTTACGAGGATCACCACCGACTTTGGTCCCACCTTCCTTTCGAGTTTCAACATTCTAGGGTTAGAAATACCTACCACCGAGCACAAAGATACACCTGGCGTGAACTCCTCGTCGCTGGTGTCACCGTCGGTTGGTTTTGAAGGTCCGCCTCGTTGTCCTCCGCCCCGCCAAGAAGCAGGACACTCATCTTACGATTTTTACACCGATGGCCGACGCTCCAGCGTTCATCACAACGGAAGCAAAGGCTCTTCGCCTTCTGCTCTTGGTGCTCAGCTTTGGTGTGGTTTACCAGATTTAGCAGAAGGTCGTTCTTGGAAAGTTCACTGAAGCTTGCGATTTTGATGGAGCCTTAGGCTAGCCCTTGAAGGTCGATGCTTTGGAGTCCCAACGGTGTTTATGAGGCCTGGCAGTTAAGGCCTTCGACCCACTACTGCTAGCCACGAGTCTACCCGACCCAAAATAACCGTATCCCTTTTGAGTCCGCTTACCCGATTCCTCTCTTCAACCCGACCCGCTATTTCCATAGCTTGCTCCAGATTAAAAGGGTTCATTAATCTCACATCAGCTTTAATGTCCTCTTTTGACCCATTAATGAAATGACCCATCATTATTGTCTCGGGTATTTCTTCCAAAGGAGCTGGCAATTCGATGAATTTCTTTCGATATTCCATGACGGTGGTCTCCTGACTCGCCGCCAACCACTGTTCGTGGAGGCTACCGGCGTGAGTCGACCGAAATTGGTGCAAGACTCTGCTCTTTAGGCTCTCCCAGTTTGGCATGGGTCTCCTTCGGTTTTCCCACTAAAACCACCTTAAGGCATCGCCTTCCAAGGCGGAAACGGTGGCCTGCAACCTTTGCTTCTCCGTGAGCTGATAATGATGGAAATACTTCTCTCCTTTTAGTATCCATCCATCTGGGTCCGACCCTTCGAAGACCGGCATATCTAGCTTCCTCGGCTTCCAACGTTGCTCTCCTCCTTCTTGCCAGTTGCGCCCCCCATGGTTGAAGGGTTGAGCGTTCCTCTGGTTCACTAGATTTCGTAGCTCCTCAAAGAACTAAGCTTGGGTGGTGGTGTTCACCGTCATCTAAGCATCTTGTTTTTGCCGGAACAACTCAAATTGGCCGTCAAGCCGCTGAATGGCACCCTCCACCGTCTTCTTAAGGGACTCCTCCTGAGTTCTCATCGTTGCCTCTAAGGTCTCCATCTGAGTTTGGACTCCGGCCATCTGCTCTTCCAACGTGTCGCATCTGTGGGTTGCTGAAATAACCATTTTTCTAATAAGAATAAACAGAGTGTGGAGGTGGTGGTTTCCGGCATCGGCAGTCGCAGGACCACCGCTCTGATACCACTTGTAACACTTTACTCTACTGTTAATGTAAAACTAAGACAAGAAAGCAATAAAGATGCAATTTTTAGGGAAGAAAGCTGTTGATTAATTGATTCAAAGATGAAATCTTGGAAAACAGGGTGGCTTGAGGCCACTACTCTCTACTGAGTACCTTGAGGGTACAACTCTCCACACTCTAGGGATTACAAAATGGCTAGCTACCCAACACACTCCCTCTCCCCCTTTCTTATATGTACACATCAAGCCAAAAACAAAAGAGACAAAATTGTAATATTGCAGCTGTCACACCCACAGAGGATGCTGCCAATAATCATTAGCTGCTCACTAATTTGGTGGCTCCGTCTCTGCTGTGCTTTGTTGCTGTCCTTTCTTCCTTCTACGCTCGTAGGTGATCCAACCCTTGTGCTTGCTTCTCGAGGCAGTCGCTACACACCTTCAAGTTTTTGGTTCACGAATATTGAGTTGTTTGACTTGTCAGGCAATTAGATCAATGTGATAATATTTTTGCTTTACTTTTTTGTTTCTTTCTTCTTATGCATCTTCTCCTATCTCAATTTTTGGCTCATTTTGATAATCTTGCTCATTTCTGCTATATTGTGCACATTGCTTCATTTATAATACCCTTTTTGGATTCTATTTGAGATATCTGTCATTAGTAGCATCGGTCAACAGTGTGTTGACACTTGAATGGACAAAGTCCTTTTGGAAAGTTTGTTTGTGGTAGAAACGGCCTTTGGGTTTTCACATATCTACACCTTTGGTGTTGCTTAATTTCCTTTTTGCTTCAACTTTTGTTTGTTTGTGGATGGGTGTGTTTTTCTTTTATTACATTATTCACTTGTTAATTATGACTAAAAGCAGTCCTTCTGACTGCTTGTAAAATCTTTATGGTAGTATTCACTCTCCAAAGTAATAGGAAAATAAAAATGCTGTTAATACCACACTAGCAAGTTAGATTTGGACCATGCGGTCTTTTGCTCGTAGCTAAACTCAAAGCCATTGGTAAGTTCTATTGGGTGAAGTTGGCTACAGCTCTTTTGTAAAGATTAAGCTCAAGTGAGGAGCTATGAGCCCCTGAGTATGTGATGCCATCAGTGCCAAAAAAAGCTATTTTGTACCTCCCACTCCCTCCCCTTCCCCACTAAACAGGATTGTAGCTTCTGGATTGTTCGGAAAAAAACTTGATTATCCGTGCATGATACATGTCTGCTGTTTGTTTTACAGGCAACAGCAAAGTGATGAAACTCCAATGGTTTGGGAAATGCTCCTTTATATCTACATTCTGTATTCACCTGATTGGCATTATCGAAGCACAATGCCCACATTCCTCTTCCTCTACGGTGTTATTTTTGCCGTTGTTCATTCAGTATTTCATTTCAAAATTAGTTTTAAAGTTCATTACGCTGTGCTCTGCCTCCTTTGCATCCCTCGGATGTACAAATACTACATCCACACAGAGGATCCTGCAGCCAAGCGTCTAGCAAAGCTATATGTCATCACTTTATTCCTTGCAAGCCTGTGTTGGGTTTGTGACCGTGTTTTCTGTGAGCATATATCTGCTTGGCCTATCAATCCACAAGGACATGCTTTATGGCACATCTTCATGGGCTTTAATTCCTACTTTGCAAATGCATTTCTGATGTTTTGCCGTGCTCAGCAGCGAGGTTGGGGTCCAAAGATTGTTCATTTCTTGGGTCTTGTTCCCTATGTGAAGATTGAGAAACCAAAATCTCAATGAGCTAGACACAATTACACAAAGCCGGTGGAACCTCTTATTTCCTGGTCCCTTATGTATTCTGCAGTTAAGAGGCATCTCTGTCTGATAGAAACCTACTCAGAAGGGACTGTTTACGTAGGCTGTTCTGAAGTGTAGCTTGCAAACTATAACCATACTTAAATAGTAGATGGTCACAGGCAATTCTGTCAAAGCAAATATTCAGCATTTTTTTGTTTTTATATTAGGATCTAGATTAGTCAAAGCTATGGGCAGTTTTTTTGTTAGAACTCAAGTATAGGTTCTATAGTTTACTAAGTTTATGTTGTCTTCATTCGATGGAAAGTGTTAAATTCTTGATTCTCTTGTCAGCTTACTGATACCCAGATTCTGAAGTTTCTTGTTTATGCAAGCTTTTCATTATTTATATAATTACAAATGTTAATTTATTCATCTACATATATAGACGCGCTGTGATTCTAATATTTTACTTTGTTTCCGTGTCTTGACGAATGTTTTGTCGATCTACTCTACTGATAGTTGCCTGCCTGGTTGAGCTTATACTGTAAAGTGATGCTGAAACTCAGTTGGCTGACTTGGATCTTAATGTGAATTTGGCAGGGATGATAATGATTTTTGGAACTGTTGGTTGGAACTCTTATATATCATCTTTTATGAATGCCAAATGCATTTTGTAATTAAAATCTTCATAAATAAACTCAAAACTTGAGATAGCGAGAGTTTGTTATATAAACCCGGGTGTACCTTACACCCTAACTCCATAAGTATTTTATACTCATTTCAATGATTATTTTTCATTTAATCACCAAATAAAAAGCAAAAACTAACTTTGGGGTTTGGATTAGTTTGGTGTACAGTACCCCGGTGTATATAGCAAATTCTATGGGATAACATCCCATTTCTATGGGATAACATCCCATATACTTTTAGCAATATGATAATAGCTTGACCCATTGAATTACTCACTAATTAACTAATTTTGTTCTTATGCAAAGTTCAATACCTGGCCTATACGGCCGAAAACTCCAAAATTTCTCATAAAGCGTGGATATTAACCTTCAATTTTGGAATTTTTTGATTTTTTTTTTTTTTCATCCGAAAATAAAAATTACCGAAATGCTTACCATGATCCCTAATCCAATTTGCCTTTAAACGACCAATTTACCGGTTTACAATTTGCACAGATTTCATTAACTCAAGCTTACCACGAACATTTATGAAAACATATAATGATCATATATGGATCCAAATAGCATTATATGACCCCTAGATTTATACCCTAAAATCTCAATGGTTTTCGACACGTGCCTCGAAACATTCGAAATTTCTCAAAAAGCGTGGATATTAGCCTTCAATTTTTGAATTTTTTCACTTTTTTCGCCCGGATATAAAAATTGACGAAATATTTACCATGGTCCCAAATACCCTCCGGGAGTCCAATTAGGTGGGTGGAACTATCCAATTTGCCTTTAAACGACCAATTTAATTACTGGTTTACAGCTTGCACGAATTTCATTAACTCAAGCCTACTACAAACATTTTTGACAACATATAATGATCATATATGGTTCCAAACGGCATTATATGATCCCGAGATGTATCCCCTAAAATATTAATATTTTCCTACACCGAGCCCCGAAACCTCCAAAATTTCTCAAAAAGCGTGGATATTAGCCTTCAGTTTTGAATTTTTTTGACGTTTTCTTGCCCAAAAATAAAAAGTGTCAAAATGTTTACCATGGTCCCTAATATCCTCTGAAAGTCCAATTTGGTGGGTGGAACCATCAAATTTGCCTTTAAACGACCAATTTACCGGTTTACAACTTGCACCGATTTCATTAATTCAAGCCTACCACAAACATTTATGACAACAAATAATGATCATATATGGTTCCATACGGCATTATATGACCCCGAGATGTATCCTATAGAATTTCAAAACTTCTCGTCACCGGCCCCGAAACATACAAAATTTTCTCAAAAAGAGTGGATATTAAGCCTTCAATTTTGGAATTTTTTGACTCTTTTTCGCCCGGAAATAAAAATTTCTGAAATGTTTACCATGCTCCCTTATACCCTCTGGGAGTCCAATTGGGTGTGAGGAACCATCCGATTTGCTTTTAAACGGTCAATTTACCGGTTTACAACTTGCGCCGATTTTATTAATTTAAGCATACCACGAACATTTATGACAACAAATAATGATCATAAATGGTTCCAATAAGAATTATATGATCCCGAAATGTATCCCCTAGAATTTCTAGACTTTTCGACAACGGGCCCCAAAACCTCCAAAATTACTCAAAAAGCGTGGATAATAGTCTTTAATTTATGAATTTTTTTGACTTTTTTTCACCCAAAATTAAAAAGTGCCGAAATTTTTACCTTGGTTCCTAATACCCTCCGAGAGTCTTGTTGGGCTGGTGGAACCATCCAATCTGCCTTTAAACGGCCAATTTAATTACTGGTTTACAGCTTGCATGAATTTCATTAACTCAACCCTACTACAAACATTTTTGACAACATATAATGATCATATATGGTTCCAAACGGAATTATATGATCCCGAGATGAATCCCCTAAAATACTAATATTTTCCTACACCTGGCCCCGAAACCTCCAAAATTTCTCAAAAAGTGTGGATATTAGCCTTCAGTTTTGAAATTTTTTGACGTTTTCTTGCCCAAAAATAAAAAGTGTCAAAATGTTTACCATCGTCCCTAATATCCTCCGGAAGTCCAATTTGGTGGGTGGAACCATCAAATTTGCCTTTAAACGACCAATTTACCGGTATACAACTTGCACCGATTTCATTAATTCAAGCCTACCACAAACATTTATGACAACAAATAATGATCATATATGGTTCCAAACGGCAGTATATGACCCCGAGATGTATCCCATAGAATTTCAAAACTTTTCGACACCGGTCCCGAAACCTACAAAATTTTCTCAAAAAGAGTGGATAATTAGCCTTCAATTTTGGAATTTTTTGACTCTTTTTCGCCCTGAAATAAAAATTTCTGAAATGTTTACCATGGTCCCTAATACCCTTCGGGAGTCCAATTGGGTGTGAGGAACCATCCGATTTGCTTTTAAACGGTCAATTTACCGGTTTACAACTTCCGCCAATTTTATTAACTTAAGCCTACCACGAACATTTATGACAACAAATAATGATCAAATATGGTTCCAATAAAAATTATATGACCCCGAGATGTATCCCCTAGATATTAAAGACTTTTTGACATCGGGCCCCGAAACCTCCAAAATTTATCAAAAAGCGTGGATAAGTCTTTAATTTATGAATTTTTTTGACTTTTTTTCACCCTAAAATAAAAATTGCCGAAATTTTTACCATGATCCCTAATACCCTCCGGGAGTCTAGTTGGGTTAGTGGAACCATCCACTTGGCCTTTAAACGGCCAATTTAATTATTGGTTTACAGCTTGCATTGGTTTCATTAACTCAAGCCTACTACGAACATTTATGGCAACATATAATGATCATGTATGGTTCCAAACGGAATTAAATGATCCAAGATGTATCCCCTAAAATATTAATATTTTCCTACATCGAGCCCCGAAACCTTCTAAATTTCTTAAAAAGCGTGGATATTAGCCTTCAGTTTTGAATCTTTTACGTTTTTTGCCCAAAAATAAAAAGTGCCAAAATGTTTAACATGGTCCCTAATACCCTCTGGAAGTCCAATTTGGTGGGTGAAACCATCCAATTTGCCTTTAAACGACCTACATCTTGCACCGATTTCATTAATTTAAGCCTACCACGAACATTTATGACAATAAATAATGGTCAAATATTGTTCCAAACGGCATTATATGACCCCGAGATGCACCCATAGAAATTTCAAGAATATTCGACACCGGCCCCGAAACCTACAAAATTTTCTCAAAAAGAGTGGATATTAGCCTTTAATTTTGGAATTTTTTGACTCTTTTTCGCCCGGAAATAAAAATTTCTGAAATGTTTACCATGGTCCCTAATACCCTCCGGGAGTCCAATTGGGTGTGAGGAACCATCCAATTTGCTTTTAAAGGGTCAATTTATCGGTTTACAACTTGCACCGATTTTATTAATTCAAGCCTACCACGAACATTTATGACTACAAATAATGATCAAATATGGTTCCAAAAAGAATTATATGACCCCGAGATTTATCCCCTAAAATTTCAAGACTTTTCGACACCGAACCCCGAAACCTCCAAAATTTCTCAAAAAGCGTGGATAATAGTCTTTAATTAATGAATTTTTTGACTTTTTTTTGCCCGAAATAAAAATTGCCAAAATTTTTAAAATAGTCCCTAATACCCACAAGGTGTCTAGTTGGGTTGGTGGAACCATCCAATTAGCCTTTAAACGACCAATTTAAATACTGGTTTACAACTTGCACGAATTTTATTAACTCAAGCCTACTACGAACATTTATGACAACATATAAAAATCATATATGGTTCCAAACGGCATTATATGATCCCGAGATGTATCCCCTAAAATATTAATATTTTCCTACACCTGGCCCCGAAACCTCCAAAATTTCTCAAAAAGTGTGGATATTAGCCTTCAGTTTTGAAATTTTTTGACGTTTTCTTGCCCAAAAATAAAAAGTGTCAAAATGTTTACCATCGTTTCTAATATCCTCTGGAAGTCCAATTTGGTGGGTGGAACCATCAAATTTGCCTTTAAACGACAAATTTACCGGTTTACAACTTGCACCGATTTCATTAATTCAAGCCTACCACAAACATTTATGACAACAAATAATAATGATCATATATGGTTCCAAACGGCAGAATATGACCCCGAGATGTATCCCATAGAATTTCAAGACTTTTCGACACCGACCTCGAAACCTACAAAATTTTCTCAAAAAGAGTGGATATTAGCCTTTAATTTGGATTTTTTTGACTCTTTTTCGCCCGGAAATAAAAATTTCTGAAATGTTCACCATGGTCCCTAATACCATTCGGGAGTCCAATTGGGTGTGAGGAACCATCTGATTTGCTTTTAAACGGTCAATTTACCGGTTTACAACTTGCACCGATTTTATTTACTCAAGACTACCACGAACATTTATGACAACAAATAATGATCATATATGGTTCCAATAAAAATTATATGACCCCGAGATGTATCTCCTAGAATTTCAAGACTTTTCAACAATGGGTCCCGAAACCTCCAAAATTACTCAAAAAGTGTGGATAATATATAGTCTTTAATTTATGAATTTTTTTGACTTTTTTTCACCCAAAAATAAAAATTGCCGAAATTTTTACCATTGTCCCTAATACCCTCCGGGAGTCTAGTTGGGTTGGTGGAACTATCCAATCTGCCTTTAAACGGCCAATTTAATTATTGGTTTACAGGTTGCACGAATTTCATTAACTCAAGCCTACTACAAACAATTTTGACAACATA